AAAAAAAAATTTATTAGGTGCGGATTCTGTATGTATTAATTGTTTTCAATTATCACACCTAATAATTGCTCATAAGTGATATTAAGAAAAAAATTTCAATAATTTAGATCATAAATGAATAAATAAAGCCAACTTCTGACTGAGCTATTCGAAAAAATATTAGGTTGGGAGTCCAGACGCTTTACACTACAGTTGAAAGTCCCGTTGCGAGTCGTTTGGCTGAACCCAAAAGCTTTAAAACCCATGTCTTCCGCAAGACCTATCCATGGCGACTGCCGAAGCGCATCTTCTCCGGCTGGCAGTAAGCTGTCGGAAACTAACGGCACACGTCACTGCCGGCGCGACTGATGCAATTATCGCGATGGCTTCTTCAGGCGAACAGGAATTCGCCGCTGCTAACCGGTACAGGCTATACCGCTACCCTCGCTCCCGACGATTCTGGGACGAACGCGTCGCTGCTCGCTTAGGAGAGAAACTAGCCGTCCGCCTCCGCCAGATTGGCATCTCAGATGTCCAACTCCGCCTCGAAGACGGTGACCGAGAACGCCTCTCTTTGACTCACCATTACCGCCGGTCAATTGCTTCCCTGTTTCACTCTGTGGAGCGGGCTGGCATCCGTGTTGATGGTGCTGACGAGCTCCGATGCGATCGTGATCCTCAGGCTGGGTAAGGGTTTTTGCTTGTTAGGGATTTTATTCGGGCCTGCATTGGGGTCTCAGAATTGGGTGTTTTTTGGATTTAGTTGTGTGATATGATTTTGTGTGAATAATTCAATAGTTTAGTAAATATGGAAGCTTAATTGTTGTTATTAGATTACTAAAAAGTTTGGGATGCGATATAGAAAACGTCAATTTTTTTCCTTTTTAAAATTTTTTGGTTAATGCATTTATCATATTGCCCACTCAACTAAAAGTGTCATGAGCTGGAGTTGCTATTACAATAAGCAGCTTCTTTTTTTTAACTGCGTTTCCATTTATCCAATTCGACATACCTTTGTTAGTTGGATAATCTTTTACCTTGAATTCGTTAGATTTTTTAAGGAACATTTAAGATTTTGTGGTGGTCATTACAATAATGAACTTTGTCTAAAAGAAGCAACATTGCTCAATATTGCTTTGATGTTATAATCCTTTTGATTATACAAGATTTAGGTTGATGCAAAATCAGAAAAGGCATAAATGTGGAAAGAGTAATATATTCAATATTTAAATTTGTGTAGATTGTATCACTTTTTTTTTT